GGACGATCCGATGCCTTCTGCTGCCAGTGCCTCACGACCAAGGGCTTCAACAAGTAGGGCGACGCATGCGCGAGGATGATGGTCATGGCATGCGCAGGTTCCATGCGCTCGAGAAGGTCAAGGCGCGGGCGACGTGCAAGGAGTGCGTCAAGGGCGGCCGCACGGTGCTGAGCCCGTGTGCCGAAGCCGAGTCCGAGCCGCCCATGACGCCGCCGAGCGCCGCGCCCAAGTACGCTCGCTGATGGATTGAGAGGACGTGGTTACCATGTGCGTGGCAGGAAGACGTCGGGCACGACGATCGATGATTTCGAGTTTCTTAGCGTCATTGGCAAGGGCGCGTTTGGCAAGGTGCTTGGACCATGGCAACACGCAGGACGAAGGTTGACGTGGCGATGTAGGTGCTCTTGGTGCGACACAAGGCGACGCGCCAGATGCATGCGATGAAGGTGCGTGCGGGCTATTACGCGGACAAGAATGCATGGCTGATGCTGGCTCTAGATCATTAGCAAGCAGTTCCTTGTCGAAATGAACAGCGTCGAGTACATGAAATCGGAGCGCGAGATCATGACGAAAGTACTTTGTCGTCGTCGATGTACAATATTGTCATGGTTCGCGTGCTTTTAGGTCAGCCACCCGTTTATCATTGGCCTCAAATACGCCTTCCAAACCGACTCCAAGGTGTCGAGCCTATGACTACATGCACGCAGTCGTGACCACGCTGGGCGCGGTAGGTCTACCTCATCATGGAGTACCAGCCGGGCGGCGAGCTCTTCTCGCATTTGTCGAAAGAAGGCCTCTTGATGGAGGTGCGCCTCTCTATATTCCTCCCATGTCGGGTCCTTAGGCGTTGCGTAGGCCAAAGCCAAGTTTTACATTGCGGAGATGGTCTTGGCCATCGAGCATTTGCATAGCAAGGGCATCATCCATCGGTGCGTTCGCTTCTCGCCGTCGTCTCTCAACTTGAACGGTCTCGCAGAGATCTCAAGCCCGAGAACGTGCTTATTTCTGCCGAGGGGCACGTCAAGCTCACTGGTACGACAGTCTTCTCCACCAAATCGTTGATGATCAGAGTGTAGATTTTGGTCTGGCCAAGCAAGTGAACGATGTACAGATTATTGTCTATGCCTGCGACGACGGGATTTAACTCACGACAGCATTGTGCTCTAGGGCGATGAAGTCTTTACGTTTTGCGGCACGCAAGAGTACATGGTCTGTCGACGAGCACCGACTCGTGGAGGAGCCGACGACTTATTTCTAGGCGCCGGAAATGATCCTCGGCAATGGCTACACGCAGGCGGTCGATTGGTGGTCGCTTGGCGCGCTCGCGTACGAGATGCTGATTGGGCGATCGCCGTTTGAGACCAAGAACAAGAACCGCAAAGAGCTGCACAAGAAAATTCTCACGGCCAAAGTAGACGACAACTTGTCCACATCTTGTAGTACAATATTACCTGTACTAGCTCGCACTGCCCAAATGGCTCTCGTCCGACGCGCACTCGCTGCTCAAGTCGCTCCTCGAACGCAACGTGGACAAGCGTCTCGGCGCGGGCAAGTCGTCCATGTTTGTTGTCCGCGGTGTCCAAGCCCTCAAGGCGCACCCGTTCTTCAAGGTTCGTGTGTTTTTTCCTGGGCATGGAATGTGAGGTGTCGTGCTAGGGCATTGATTGGAACGCCATCGTGGCGCTGCAAGTCCCGCCGCCGATGATTCCGGTCATTCACAGCGAGACCGACACGAGCAACTTTGACGCCGAGTTTACGGGCCTCCCGCCCACGGACCTCGACTGCTCCGAGTTTGGCGGCGACCGAGATACGTTCCGCGGCTTTTCGTTCTGCGAAGGGGACCACCACAGCAGCATCGACGCCAAGAAAACGCATGTGGATGACGACGCTCTCGTCGACAGCATCGCGAACCTCGTCTTGCTCCGCACGCGGTCCATGTCCCGCCGCGGCTCGATCGAGCTTGGCGCACACGAGCATCCGCCGCACGAAGAAACGGCGAGTACGTAATGGTTGCGATACAATGGTGATGTCATACCTCCGGGATGAACGTGTCTTTGTATGGTCCACAAGACGAAGGACAATCTGTCCACACTTGCCTGTACGCGCGTTTTCAGCCAATCATATGCAAGCATTTCCGCGTGGTCTTCAACGCGGTACCATGAAGCGAACTTCGGTTAGCTCTCGCGACGCGGGCGCTGAACGAGCCGTCGTGACCGGACGAGAATGCGCGTGGGCGACCAAGTTCGTAGCTTCCAAGAGAAGAAACAAATTTCCTTGGTGGCTTCTGACGCGGGTGGGAGCAGGGGGAAGGTCCGTAGTAAGTGTTGTCCCCTTCTCGTTCTCAGTGGCGTTGGCATCAAGTGGGTTCTTCACAACGATGCCGGCTTCGATTCGAGTCGCAGAAAAGACGCAGAGAGGACGCAGAAATCGTCCTGCGACCTCCAGTCGCTGACGCCGCGACTCCGTCGCTGGAATCTCTCAAGGACCTTCGTCGCTCTGCCACCGATCGCGACGCTTGCAAGGACTTGGATACGCTTGTCGTCCTGTGCATCACTCGAGTGTCGAGCAGCGCATCGAGAGAGAAGCAAGACGGCTCGGCGAGCGAACATCGAGAGAAAGAAGGGAATGACGCGTCTCTACGTTTGCAAGGTCGTTGCGACAACACCGAGGACGCAAGCGAGACAGAGGACGTCCAAGGGGTAGGTCAAGTTGGAGGAAAAGGGGCAAGTTAAGTTAGAGGATTAGCATTGGAAGAGCCGGATGATTTCGCGCACGGACGATCGGCACACGGGACACTGCTTCACGGGCGCCGCGAGAAGATGATCGGCGCAGCGCATGCAGACGGCGTTGTGCCCGCACGGGACGCAGACAGCGCTCTGGGGTCCGTCAAAGCACACGACGCACTCGCGCTGACCGGCCAGATTGAGCAGCCCGCTCTCGTCCAGCGGCGGGGCGCTGGCGGCAACGACCTCGTTGATCGGCGACAAGAGCGGTGCTGACGGCGCGACCTCTCCTGCTGCCTCGGGCTCGGGCAGAGCGAGCTGCTTTGGTTCCGAGAGGCTGGGTTGGCGCCACGGCACTTGCAACACGGACGGCGACGTCTCGTTCGCCAGTGGCTTGGCATCCGAGTGGCCGCGCCGGGTCCGCCATGGAAGTTGCAGCACCGACGACGTCTCCGCCGTCAGCGCAGCTTGCGCTGGTGCGTTCGACTCGGACAACGTCAGCTCGGAGAGGCTGCGGCGGGACCGGCGGGGCAGTTGTTGCAGCATGGAAGGGGTCTCGGTGGCCGGCGGTGGCGACGTCGCCGCGACGAGCGGTACGAGCAGCGTGTCGGGCACATCTTTGGTCATCTACGCAGTGGCATCGGATGTCGGTACGATGTCTCCAATGATGCGATATATGTACGCTGTAGGTATTAAAGAAGGTCGACCACGACGCCAAGCCATTTGCGTCCAAGGCCGCGCACTCGAGCTTGCGCATGACACTGGGCTGGTCCTCGTGTGTTCGGTGGGCGCCGGCAAAGTAGAACGAATGGTCCTTGTTGCCAAACGCACGCTGCGTGCCTGGCTTCACCATCGGCGTACCGAGCTTGTACAGAACCGTCGAGCTACCATATTTACTGTTCTAGAGGGACATTGCGTCTTGCTGCTTTGGAACAGTACCTCGGCACGGGCGGGAGGCGGCTGCCTTGCTTGGCGTCGAAAAAAGACATTTCGAGCGACGTCGAGTGCACGTCGGTCCGCAGCACAATGACAAACCTAGTGCTCGCGAGAGGTGAGCGGCGGCGTGGCGCCGACGGCGCGTACCGCAGCTTCCACGGGCGGAGGCCCAGCGGCATCTTGACAAGAGACGACTCGACGCTTTCGTAGAGCCACCCGCGGTAGAGGCTGCAGCGCTACGCGATGTAGAAGGAATGAGTCGGGCGACGGCCAAGCATGCAAAGGTACCTCTTCCAGCAGCCGGGCACACTCTTCAAAGCTGGCCCAGTGGTCGTGCTCGAGGCATGCAATGCGCGCAACTTGCAGTGCTGTGAGCTGACGCTGGTTGCGCACGTACGGATCAAAGTACGGCACGGCGAGGAGGAGCTGGACGACCTCGGGGTGGCCGGCCGCCGCGGCGCAGTGCAGCGCTGTAGCTCCCGTGTTGTTGATGGCACCGACGT